CCGATCAGATAAGAGGAGAAATTGTCGCTCTTCTCGTGCTTCCCGAAGCTTGCCGCTCGCACGATGATCGATGCACCGTGGAAGCATTAATTTATACTACGTCGCATCGAAGAATTTCAAAGAGTAAACACTGATACTTGGCGTAATGCGAGAGGAAAAAATTTTCCAAAGATTATACCAGCTGCGAGAGTGAAAGTCGAAATGATAATGCGAACGAAAGTGTACACATCGATACAAGCGTAATGCGAATAAAAAGGGAAAAAAAAAAAGAAAACAAAAGCGATTCACCTGAGAGATAATTGTACGTATCTTTTCTAAATAAATGCCGCTTTCTTTTAACTCTTTACTTTTCAGATCACTCCGTTGGCTCGGCACTCGTTTGTTAACCGAATATCTGCTATTATGCATTCATCCTCTAGTGATTCCGATTCGCAGGTTCGCAATACGAACGTCCACGTAAGTCGAAAGCCCGATGCCAAGCGCACGGCACGGCGGTCGATACGACCGTCTGACCATGCCGCGTCATTATCTACTTAGCTGAGAGAGCGGCGTTTTCTCTTTCACGCGACTAGGAATTCATTTTCCGCAAGCCAAATATTATGTAAAAGGGATCGTTTGCACACGCAACGCGAATCGATCGAGAGCACGCGTTCGGGGGACAAAAATTATTCTCGAAGATTATTTTCGGACACCGCCCGGTTGCTTTCATTCAGTCGCTCTCGCCGTGAAAGCGACGTCTAATGCGCCGCTTGTCTGATCCGGAAGGTCTCGTTCCAAGAATTACGACTGGGATGTTGCTGTAACGATATTATGCTTGAACACTTGATACTGTTCTGAACGTTACAGCATCGACACACTTCACGACTGATTTCTCGAAAATATTGCTATCACACACAGCAGTGATACCATAAAACGTCTTGTCCATTATATATAATATGCAGCAAAATATATCATAATATTGTAGAGAGCATTATTATGTGTGATTAGTACAGTTGCAGCGGTCGATTAGAAAGCTATTGTTTTTCTTAAAAATAAAATATTTGCTGAAGCATTGATGAACGGTACGACGATGCTTCGTGAAACTGTATATATAAAAAAAAATAATATAAAAGACATTTTCAATAAATTAGGGAAAAAAGATTTTAAATTAGCCGAATAATTTAAATGTGACAAGATGCTCTCTACACTTTGAAACACTTTTTAAATATTTCAATAAGCCTGAGTAGAAATTTAAAAGTTTAATTGAAGCAAATAAAACAAATTGAAAGTTAACGTCAGTAATGTTTTGTCAGCGCTGTTTGGAGATACCCAATGCCTCTTTTTAGAATACCTTGCGCAACGTCAATAACGTCCCGTTAAAACTGATGCGAGGCATCCGTATAGGCATTATCACGCTATAGCAACCCCGATTACGACGGCAACACAACGAGCGGGGGTGTAACGATGCACGCAAATGCCGCAAGATGAAGATGATAACTATTTTTACGGGTGAGTCAGCCGGTGCGGGAAACGGAGGAGATCCTGAGAGGATCCCGCGGAGTTTTCGCGGAGGCCTCGCCGAGGAAAATGCCAGAAATAAGATCCGCTAGGTCCACGACGGGTAAACATCGTATTCAAATCTGGGCCAAGCCGTTTATATCGTCGGAATGCGTTGTCGTCGCGGCGGCGCGTCCCGTCGAACGCGTCGTCGCGTTAGCAACGCACGGCGGCGTTATGTCATAACTGAGAAGCGTTGGATCTCCGAAAGCAAAGATGAGAAATCTAAAAGTGTCTCATGATTACATTCTAAAATATATCTTATTCCGAAAAATAAACTCGTAAGGGGTTCGTTTTTGAATATCTCGCGTGACGCATTTTACACCAGACATTATGAGCGGACATGTGCGATAGTCAAGTTTCCAAATTTGAAGACAGAAAGTGGAATTATTTAGACGCGAAATTAGAAATTAATTATTGAAAATGTTAAAGTTATTTTCAAGATATAAGTAATTGAAATCTATTTTTAAAGGAATTAAATTTTTTAGGTAAAAAAATAATTTTTTGAAGCAAATAAAATTTGTTACAATGTTAAAATTAAAATATATATTGGAAATAAAATGCCTTCTCTCTCGAGACGTAAAATAATGAATATACAACACCATAAGCATGCACAATGCAATATTTGGATACACATTTCATGTGACACCTATACGCTATGGAGCGAAGGATGTTGTGTGCGTTCTGCACTTTAGATTCTGCTCCCTGCTATGCACCTAATAAGAATTTTCGCAACGGGTACAACGTGCCGAGTTAACCGCCGTTACCGCTAGGCGATGTATGTCGTAATTCGTAACAAGCGTAGTTAAAGCGTAATACCGTTTTTTCTAATTTTTTATCCATTTCAGCGATCTTCCAAGCGAGAGGAATTTCAACGATATAATCGCCGGATGATAAATCAAACACACGATAACATGTGATCAGATAACAATCTGAATCGGTGTCAATTACGATAAATTATTAAAACTGCTTGCAGATACATGGTCGCCACGTGCTTCACAAACATCATGGAATCACTTGCTACGAGGATCTTGTACCAGAAATATTGGCACAATGTCGGAAAGAAAATCTTAAATTGATTTGTGACAAGACAAAACAAACCTGAGACGTGAGCACAAGAATTTTGCTGTAAATTGGCTAAAATAAATATCTTGAAGAAGTGTAAATTTTACATAATAAAGTATCAAAACCATATTCAAGGCTCCTCCATTAGTCGGTCATAAAGAAACGTAATAAGACGTAATGTCTCAATAGTCAATAATGACGTCGTTAAATCTTGATCGGAAAGTTAGAAGACATTTATTATTAAATGCATTGCGCACGTTTTATTTTCCGTGATTCTTGATTTTTGCTCGCGTTGAAATAACTCATGCGAAAGAGGGCCACAATGCGTATTTGCCCGCAAGGATTAAGCGGGCAAGCAGAGCGGGTAGAAATTTATTTTATCGTCGTCATTGAATTCGGCACGTACGGTCGAGCGATTTTCTTCAATCGCAAAACGGAGTTTCACCAGCAAAAGTGAACCGGATTCGATTCGCGCCTCACTCACCTGAGTATATTCGGATGGCTAAGCTTGTTCATGAGCTGGACTTCCTTGAGCATGTTCGGCCTGTTCGCCGCCAGCTGATTCATTTTGAGCACCATCACCTGACTCGTCACTTTGTGAGTAACCTGAAAAAACGAAGCAAACACGAAGGTTAGTGACATATTACGGTGTGCCGTCACGTCCTGCTGTTATTGACGTTAGATCATACGACAGATGCGCACGGTGCAACCGTTTCGATTCTTTGCTTTACGATTTTTGCCGAGGTCATAAGCACAAGAGCGCTGTTCCATGTTGGTGTTGTACTATTTTGAGACATTCCAAAACAAAATCTTTGCCAAAATTTAGAATATATTTTTGCTACAAATTAATATTCAAAATATCAAATTACATAAAAAATGAATTTATGGTACAATAAAATTTTATGTAAAATTTAAATAAAATATATTCTACACTAATATATAATAATAAAAGAAAATTATGCTTAAAATAATGCTTGGTTATATATACAGATTTATCTATATTTGATTTTGATGAACAATTGTCGTATTATGTTGTGCTCATATACCTAAAGTTTAATTGTAAAATAGAATTTCTATGATTCACTAAAGCGCGATTAAAATAGAGGCCGGCCTACATAATTCATAATCACATCTATGCAAGAACGACCTTAATGTATCGAGGTAATTTCATCATGACTGTGCGAAACGTTTATATGTTTGTCGTGAAATTGATACAAGTACAGGATACATCAAAATCATTTAATATTTAATAATTCGACGAAAACTATAATCACACGTCAAAACTATAATCACACAATAATTCTTTTGTAAAATGTAAGAAAATCTATTATTATTATTATTATACAATATCTCTTGATTTAACTTCAGAGGTCTAAATAATTAAAATTCTAAATTAAAATTCTAAATTAAAATTCTGTCGCTTTAAAATCCACTGAATATTAATCAAAAGATTTATTATTAATTTTTTTATCATTTTATCATTTTAAGCGCGAAAGATCAAATTTTCTTCAATAATTTCATATACTTTGCGTATAATATATTAACAGATTCTGGGACATCCTGTACATCACTTAACAGCTCGGAGACGACGACAGATGCTTTTCTCATCTCGCTGAGCTACGAAACGGAGATTCGCGTCGCCCCGTTTTCACGTGGCGCGTGAGTAACACACGCGAGAGAACGCTGAAGCGATATTCTCGCGAAAGAGAAATTTATTAATGAAACTGCGGCATCTGGCCGGCGTAAGATGCCGCATGTAAAGATGCCGGCCGTGCCGCTCATTGCCGCAGCATCGTTCAATGTCGAAAATGGACATACGGGCCTCCTTTATTAGCCTTGAAAGCTGCCGCGGTTGCTTAAATGAGTGCGATCATCGCAGGTTCACCAGCAGCTTCGGTTACCGCGAATTCCCCGAAGAAAAACATTCTCGTGGAAATATTGGAAGGATTCAATTTCGCAACTTTCTGTATTATGCCACGGTGAATTGAGAAATAAAAAGGTGAATTGAGAAATAAATCTCTTTCTCGGGATGACTTAATTAAACAAACATATTATGACGAGGAGATATTAATATCACGTGATATCCCGTCGAGGAAACTAACTGTTAAAATTTTATCTATCTATCAACGAACCTGTTAGTAGAAACTTTTTTTTATGTTGATAAGATATACGCACTGTATATTACACAGATATATATATAACACTATATATATATATAAAACACAGGCATTAAGAGAGCTAATTATTCTTGTTATCGTCCACCGTTTCTAATTAGAGAGCTGCCCCACCGAGCTTTCGAGAAACGCAGTCGTAAATTTTTTGGAATAAATAATAATGCAAAAGTGATCTTCGAGCATATTTTTTTTTCGCATCACAGATAAAATCGTGACTTTGACGCATATTCCTCGTGACGAGTGCGAGAGCATCTTCCGAGAATCTAAAAGATGCGAGACGCCGGGAAGGTTAAGGACCACTGGATTACATCAACTCACTCCTCCAGCCGATCCTCTCGGCATTGAAAGCATAATGCACTCTTTTACATTCCAGTGCTCGTACATCTTTTACCGTTCATCTCGAATTTCATCTCGGCTCGAAAAAGAATCGGAGATGAGACTGGAAAGGTGATGAAAATGGAGACGTGAAATAGAAAACACGAGAGAGAAGAAAGAAGAGTGAGAGAATCTCTCTCTCTCTCTCTCTCTCT